CACTAACACACACACACACACACACACACATACACACATAAAACCAGCTATGGTTAAACGTGTGTGTTTCTGAAGAAAAACACTGGACTTTCTTTATCATCATCATCTTCATCATTATTATTATTATAAAACTCTCTCTCTTTATATATATATATATATATATATATAAAGAGCACAAGATGAATGACAATATAGAAGTTAAAAGCATTTTAGATTTTTTCCTGAGGTGTTTGGCATATTGACAAACCTTTACTGACACAAACCCAAAGAAGGTTTCCAAGTGTGGTCTTGCATTTATTACATCTTCCGCTCACTTTCACATCCGTCCAATTTTGCATTCATGCACATGTTCAAGCAGCTTAGACTGAGACACGTGGATCAGTTGTCCGTTCCGGATTAATTTTGGATTTACACCTGATTTGCATTTTTAGTTCTAAAGGAACAAGTCACTCCTGTTTCAGACTCTGCAGTGTTTCAGATTCGCAGATGTGTTCACCATGCAATTAAATTTGCATGTTGGGAATGATTGTCTGTCTTTGCATTCAGTCTCTATTGCTCACGTGGCTCTTGATGTCTAACAGCTGTGAGACTTCAAACAGATGTCACTGCAATCTCAGCGGGAGAGAACGACATCTTAGTTTATTATCAGTGAACATCAGGATGGAGAAAGAGACTAGATCTTACCTTCACAGCCATATCAGAGAAAACCCATGTGAAGGTTGACTTTACAGACTATTCAGAATCTGTGCACTGATTATTTTTTTCCCACATTATATTTATTTCATACTAATCAACAATATTTATTTTTCTGGACAAAAACATTTATACAAGTAAAAAAATTTATTATTATAAAGACATAAGCCGAAATGTTACTTAATGTTATTATGTCAATATAAAATTTGTTTGGCTTTTTAAAACTTATTTTCACCAAAAACAAAACTAAATTAGCTATAATATGAAAGTAGATACAACGTATTTTTAGTCAGTGTTTAATTTAGTTTAGACAACTTCAGAAGACCTTAATGTTTATTGTGATGTTTTTTTTAAATAAGCATCATATTTTCTATGTACAAAAAAAAGAAAAATTAATAAAACCCACAATCATTTCAACAAAACACATCACTCTGAGAAAAAGAAAAAGTTCAAATACACGTTACAAATAATAAAAAAAAAATAAAAAAATAAAAATAAAAATAAATAAAATAAATAAAATAAATAAAAGTTAACATTGACAGCCCTAATATATATATATATATATATATATATAAAGAGCACAAGATGAATGACAATATAGAAGTTAAAAGCATTTTAGATTTTTTCCTGAGGTGTTTGGCATATTGACAAACCTTTACTGACACAAACCCAAAGAAGGTTTCCAAGTGTGGTCTTGCATTTATTACATCTTCCGCTCACTTTCACATACGTCCAATTTGCATGTTGGGAATGTTGGGAATGATTGTCTGTCTTTGCATTCAGTTTCTATTGCTCACGTGGCTCTTGATGTCTAACAGCTGTGAGACTTCAAACTGATGTCACTGCAATCTCAGCGGGAGAGAACGACATCTTAGTTTATTATCAGTGAACATCAGGATGGAGAAAGAGACTAGATCTTACCTTCACAGCCATATCAGAGAAAACCCATGTGAAGGTTGACTTTACAGACTATTCAGAATCTGTGCACTGATTATTTTTTTCCCACATTATATTTATTTCATACTAATCAACAATATTTATTTTTCTGGACAAAAACATTTATACAAGTAAAAAAATTTATTATTATAAAGACATAAGCCGAAATGTTACTTAATGTTATTATGTCAATATAAAATTTGTTTGGCTTTTTAAAACTTATTTTCACCAAAAACAAAACTAAATTAGCTATAATATGAAAGTAGATACAACGTATTTTTAGTCAGTGTTTAATTTAGTTTAGACAACTTCAGAAGACCTTAATGTTTATTGTCATGTTTTTTTTAAATAAGCATCATATTTTCTATGTACAAAAAAAAGAAAAATTAATAAAACCCACAATCATTTCAACAAAACACATCACTCTGAGAAAAAGAAAAAGTTCAAATACACGTTACAAATAATAAAAAAAAAATAAAAAAATAAAAATAAAAATAAACTTCAGAAGACCTTAATGTTTATTGTCATGTTTTTTTTAAATAAGCATCATATTTTCTATGTACAAAAAAAAGAAAAATTAATAAAACCCACAATCATTTCAACAAAACACATCACTCTGAGAAAAAGAAAAAGTTCAAATACACGTTACAAATAATAAAAAAATAAAAATAAAATATAAATAAATAAAATAAATAAATAAAATAATTCTACACCCAAATGAACAATAATACTGACTCAAATTCTACAGTTTAAAAAAAACCATAAATAGATCTACATTACAAAAATCCATAACATTACTTCTAAGTAGTAAATCATTAAAAAAAAGGTAATAATAATAAAAATAAATCAATAAAAATAAAAGAAAAAAGAAGTGCAAGAAAATAGTTTTTACATGATATCTCCCCAATTCTTACATTTCTGTTTGATGGAAATTAAAGTGTCGCAATGAAACAGTGATTACTTCTGCATATACCAGAATCTAATGCTGCGCTTTTATGGGAGTGTTATTTACTTGAAGACAAACGGAACATGAAACTATGATTTTTCAAATAGACCAATATAAAAATGCACTTTAAATAAATGACACGGCCGTTTCACTTTTTTCAGTGTACTGTTACAGAGATGCAAGAACAGATCAATGAGAAGATCAGAGTCAAGGAAAAGCACAAACATGCAGATCAGGACAGCTGGTTTTAATGAAGGATGACCATGTGTTTTGCAGAGAGAAAAATGCTCAAATCACATGCTTCTTTCTCTCGTTTCGGCTCACATATAAACACACACACACACACACACACACACACTTTGTCCACTTTGTGCTTTTGGGCATGTAAGGAATGCACCAAAACAAAGCGAACATGCCCACTGCCACGACAGCACACTCGGACGATGCCTTCGGGACAGAGCTAAGACCCACAGCATCTTTAAAAGCACCAGATTAGACCAAGATGTGAAGTGAAAGGTGAAAGTGAAGTGAAAGGTGGCCAAGTATGGTGACCCATACTCGGAATTAGTGCTCTGCATTTAACCCATCCAAAGTGCACACACACAGCAGTGAACACACACACACACCGTGAACACACACCCGGAGCAGTGAGCAGCCATTTATGCTGCGGCGCCCGGGGAGCAGTTGGGGGTTCGGTGCCTTGCTCAAGGGCTCCTAAGTCGTGGTATTGAAGGTGGGAGAGAGCACTGTACATTCACTCCCCCCACCTACAATCCCTGCCGGTACGAGACTTGAACCCGCAACCTTTGGGTTACGAGTCCGACTCTCTAACCATTAGGCCACGACTTCCCTTGTTATATTATGTTATAACAAACAAATGCCGTTTGTTCTTTTTTATCTAATAGTTCTCTGGATCTTAAGTGAGGCTGAGCTCTGCATATGTAATGATCCTGCACGTTGGGCTCTGGACCTCTCAGTGACTGTAATTCAATCTTCATAGACTTTTTGAGATAGTTGCACTGTTGTGGTTATGACGCAACTCATGCAAGCACATTTTGATAAGTAATTGATCATGACTGATGACTTCCAGACAAAATAGCTTGTATGTCCTGATACTGATCGCAGTATATTTGGTTACAGCTGATCCGATTTAATATGATTTTTCCCAAACATATGTGCCATGATGGAAATCTTTGCATGTTTAAACAATATGCAGTGTCTAAAACACCCTCAAACTTTTACCTTTTAAAGGCAGCAATATTATACACCATGTTTAATAAACAAGTGTTTAATGAATACATTTATGCGTTTAGTAGACGCTATTATCCAAAGCGACTAACAACATACAATTCTTTCAAAAACTAAAATAGTTCATTAGTATAACTGTATCCTGTTCATGGTTATCAAGCAACCATTTATTGCCTGTTTTACAACAGTTTCGTCACTCACAGGTTTTTGTTAATGGCTGAAAATTCTATTCTGCCAGAGTCTAATATTTTTGAGGCATGATTTAATGGACTGTGATGGTTTTAAATCCTCTAGGACTTTAGAGTTGATTCTTATAAAGAAAATACAGTAAAATATAAATTTGAGATGAAAAAGCTTTTTAAAAAATGTAAAAATTAGGAATGCCGTGGCAACTAACTGAACTGCAGTACTAAAATGACTAAAACTGAAATAAAAAATAAAAAAGCTATAGAAATATAAAAAATATAATAAAAATGCAACAAAATTACTAAAACCTAAAATAAAATGAAAAAGGTCAAATGTAAAAATACTTTAAAAAACATTGATTTTTTTGTTTGTTTGTTTATTTATTTATTTCCGACAATCTCTATTACTAGATATCAGATTACTGTAATGTAGTCTAATTTTAAAAAAAGTATTCTTTTTCTGGCACAAAACAGTATTAATTATTGATTATTTATTAACAATATTAATGATTGATAATTAACTATTTAACATCTAAATACAACTAATAAAACAAACATTTACTGTTAACTAAAAGTAAAACTATTAAAAATTGTTTCTGTAATTGAAATAAGGCTGAAATAAAATAAAATAAAATAAAATAAAATAAAATATAAGTATTAGATGAAAAATGTCAACTTTAAAAACTTCAAAGAGGATTAGGAATAAATTAACTTGAAGTTGAAGAATTAAAATGACTAAAACTAAAACTGAAATAAAATATATTAAAGCTATATAGAAATATATAAAAAATGAATAAAAATGACAACCACATAACAAAATTATTAAAACCTAAACTAAAATTAAAATAAACACTAAACATATAAAAACAAATGCTAATTCAAAATAAGTTGCAAAAACGTTCCATATATTTTTCCCTTATTACATTATGCTACATTTAACCTGTTTTCCTCATGAAAAGAGCAGTAGTAGATGGCATGGCATTCCAATCGTCCAGTCAGACTTTTAAAGTGGAACCGTAACTATCAGATTAAATCTAGAAGTTCTGGAATGTTGAGTCAGGTATGCTGCAGTCTGACGATCATCTCACATGCTTTATAAACAGTCAGAGCCATGAGAAGCAGGCACCAGTGCTTTAACAGACTTCCCGATGCTGCTGTTTGGTATGATCGTTACAGAGAGCCGCGGCCAAGTGCAGATCTCACATACACACAGTCCACAGAAATGTAAATGATTTTGACCAAAGCTGTGGTGCTCTCACTCTTCAGATCTTATATTGAGGTTGCAGCTTGTGTTTATGCTGTTACTCTAATGTGTTTGTATTTTTTTCTGCTCTTGTAGGGAATGCTGGTTGAAGGCACACCTGGTCCAGAGGGTCCCACAGTAAGTCTACTTTCCTTCCAAAACCAACCAGTTGAACTGAATCCTCTGAGTCAACTGATTCGCTAAAACAAACCTTCCAAACCAACCAGTTGAATTGAATCCTCTGAGTCAACTGATTTGCTAAATGAACCTTCCAAACTAACCTGAATCAACTGATTCGCTAAAATGAACCTTCCAAACCAACCAGTTCAATTGAATCTTCTGAGTCAACTGATTCGCTAAAACGAAACTTCCAAACTAACCTGAATCAGCTGATTCGCTAAAAGAACCTTCCAAACTAACCTGAATCAACTGATTCGCTAAAACGAACCTTCCAAACCAACCAGTTCAATTTAATCTTCTGAGTCAACTGATTCGCTAAAAACGAACCTTCCAAACCAACCAGTTCAGCTGAATCCTCTGTGGCAACTACGAACCTTCCAACCAATCAGTTGAACTGAATCCTCTGAATCAACTGATTAGCTTAACGAACCTTCCAAACCAGCCAGTTCAATTGAATCCTCTTGAGTCAACTGATTCTTTAAAACGAACCTTCCAAACCAACCAGTTCAATTGAATCCTCTTGAGTCAACTGATTCGCTAAACAAACCTTCCAAACCAACCAGTTAAAATGAATCCTCTGAGTCAACTGATTCGCTAAAACGAACATTCCAAATTAACCTGTCAACTGATTCTCTAAAAACGAACCTTCCAAACCAACCAGTTCACTCGAATCCTCAGAGTCAACTATGAACCTTCCAACCAATCAGTTGAACTGAATCCTCTGAGTCAACTGATTCGCTTAAACGAACCTTCCAAACCAACCAGTTCAATTGAATCCTCTGAGTCAACTGATTCGTAAAAAAACGAACCTTCCAAACCAATCAGTTGAACTGAATCCTCTGAGTCAACTGATTTGTTAAAACAAACCTTCCAAACCAACTGGTTCACTAAAATGAATTGTACTTCCCAAAGCTACTTCAGAGCAAGACTGTGCTATACATTGCATCTATTGATGAAAAAGTGAGCTAGTAACTAGGAAAGCTGAACTGTTTTCTAGGCCCAGTGACTTGCTGACAATGCTAAGCAGCTGTATATCTGTTTTGTTTCTTCAGTTTCATTCTTGACCTACTTATTTATAAAGCAAAAGCAACTCTTCTCTCAGCGGGAGCATTGATGGTTCTGATGGCTCTTTAGGGACTATAACAACATGAGTTTGAGAAATAGAGCAATGGAAAGAGTCCAGCAGTGATCTAGAGTCTTACCTCACCGGACCAATACCCATGTGTGCTTGTGTGTTTGCGATGGCTTTATATGTGTTTCTGACAGTACCGTTGTGTTGTTTTAGGGTCTCCCCGGTCCTCCAGGTTCATCGGGATCCCCAGGTAGCCCTGGAGAGCCCGGTGAGAGGGTAAGTAACCATGAAAACAAAAACAAGATATTGAACACATTCAACAGCACTTAGAATTGTGTTCTGCAACATGTTCAAGTTTGTAAAATTGTGAACAGGGTCAATGTCTAAAAACTAAAAGAAATGTCCAGGTCATATATTCAACAATAAATGAATATATTTAATTTGTAATATATAAATATATAAATTTGTAAATTTCCTACAGTAAATATATCAAAACTTCATTTTTGATTAGTAATATGCATTGCTAAGGACTTCATTTGGACAACTTTAAAGGCGATTTTCTCAATATTTAGATTTTTGGACCCTCAGATTCCAGATGTTCAAATAGTTGTATCTCGGCCAAATATTGTTTGATCCTAATAAACCATACATCAATGGAAAGCTTAGTTAGTCAGCTTCCAGATGATGTATCAATATTAGTTTCCAAAAATTGACACTTAAGACTGGTTTTGTGACCACAGGGTCACATTTGATGTAGAAAGACTGAAATACTATTTTCTTTATAAAACGAACCTTCACAAAATCATTTTTACAGTGTAGTTTTGTAGCCATTCGGGCTGTTGGTTGAACATTAATTGGCTGCGTTCTTGCCCGATAAAGCACTTCTCATAATAAAAGTAACTTCATAATAATAATAGGCCTAATAAAAATAAGAATGTAACAGGCCGGCCTACATTAATTGGAAATATATATATATATATATTTTTTTTTTAAATAAACTCATATTATTTAAATTGTAAAGTACATTTGTAAACTACAATTATAAGCATAAATCATGTTAGTATTTAATTTAAGTTCTAACTAATTAATATTTATTTTAAAGTAATTATTGTGTTCAAAGAAATACTGTATATATACTGTATATATATATATAGAGTATATATGAAATAATAAAATTATATTTTGATTTTTTTTTTCAGGGTGAAATATGACCTGAACATTTCTTTATGCATTTCACCATACTGTACAAAATTACATTTTAATTTTTACTTTAGAGCGATAAAATTGCACTGATTGAAAGAGATTATATTAATGATCACAATGATGTTTAATGAATTACCCATAATCTTTTGCTCTTTTGACAGGGTCCTACTGGTCGCCCTGGTCTGCCTGGAGCTGATGGTCTTCCAGGACCTCCAGGGACTGTCCTGATGTTGCCTGTATGTAAATCTGAGCACAATTACCGGATACACACTTACAAAAAGTACACAATAAAATGATGCACAAACAACTGATTCATACACATTTGCACGCCTTTTAGCTTTTAGAATTAAAGCCCCGTTGCACTGTACTGAGATCAGTTTTAGCCTGTAGACGAGATCTGCAGTGCGTCATTATGAATGTTCAGAGCCGTTAGTTCTTGCACTGGCTTGATTTATTTTCAGAGTGGTTTAACAGTGATAATTATGTCAGAGAGATATCAGAAACATAATGATCCCTTTGCTGCTGTGATTCCCCATCAATCTCACGCTGGTTAATGCAGTGAGACATTTAGCAAATTCCACATACTCTCAGCTTTTCCAAATGTCCTCTTTCCCAGCTGTTACTCCAATACAGTTTTTTTTTTTTTTTGATTCCGGAACGTGTATCGACTTCACAATGTCTTTCAGTCGAGAGTTCTGGAATGCTTCCATGGCAAATCCAGATGTTCTGAGCACCACATTAAAAAAGATGTTGTCCGTTTTGTATATGTGTTTACAGTCAACATGTGATTGTAATTAAACTCCACCCTAAACACAACCTCTCCTCACCGCCCCAGAAATACCCATGAAAATCAATACAGAGTCATGAAGCAAAGGTTAAACTAGCGTTCTTACTCTTGGAAGTGTAGTGAATGAGTTCAGCCACCAGATGGCAGTGCTGATCAATTTGACTCATGCACAGAGATGAAGGCACAGAAACACATAACTGCATACTACCATACTAGTCATACTAGTTCTGCTTTTCTTTATATGGAAGAAATAGTAAGAGTAGTATGCTAGTCTGAGTTCAGCTATAGGGTACATTTGGAATTACATACTACCACACATATTTTTATTTATTTATTTATGCAGTACGTACCGTACACTACACTATCTTATCTTATTTTATTTTACATATAATGAACTTTTTAAAATAGATGAAACAATTTAGAGCAATTTTATTTTAAAATGCATTATTTTATTTTTATCTTATTTTTTATTTTATTTTATTTGAACATATAATGAATATTTAAAAATTTTAACTTTAGAGTTATTTTATTTTATTTGAAAATATACTGAACATTTTCAACTAGGTGAAACACTTTATATCTATTTTATATTATTTTATATTCGAATACAGAATTTTATTTTAGTTTTTTAACATATAATGAACTTTTTAAAATAGATGAAACACTGGAACTATTTTATTTTTAAATGCATAATTTTATTTTATTTGAGCAGATAATGAAAATTTTTCAGAGGAATTTATTTTTTAAATTGTATTTTATGCAAATGAACTGTATTTATTGCTATAACTAAATGCCACTCATTGAGTGTAGCATGCAACTTATTCAAGCATCCAAAACAAATCATCCAGTTAATGTTAAGATAAAATAAATGTATATATTTATTTTACATTTTTATTTAAACATTTTATTTTCAAGTACATTTTACTTAATTTAATTTTATTTTATTTGAACATACTGTATATAGAATATTCTAAAACAGGTGGAACATTTTTCACTCATGCTATAATGTCTAACATATTTCTTTCAGTCTGAATGCTGATAGTTTGGTACCGTTCTGTCTCTGTAGTTCCGCATGAGTACAGGAGGGGACAGCGGACATAAAGGTCCTGCAGTTTCTGCCCAAGAGGCTCAGATGCAAGCCATCATGCAGCAGGCCAGGGTAAAAACACACACATACACGAATACACACACACACACATGCATCTCTATGCAAACTAATCGCTCTGTGTCATTATTATATAGCTGGCGATGAGGGGTCCAACCGGACCCATGGGTTTGACGGGCCGTTCTGGTCCTCTGGTATGTCTGTAAATCTGTTTTCAGTCTGTCGAAATGATGATATCTATGATACTATGATGAGTCTGATAATGTTTCATGCTTGATTTGATTTTCCCAGGGGCCTCCTGGTGTGTCTGGTCTGAAAGGAGAGTCTGGAGAATCAGGACCTCAGGTAGGCATCACATATTACCCACAATCATCAGCTTTTTGACAGTATTTTAAGACAGTTTAATGCAGGATAGAGCTGTTCTGAGACCTGTGTGTGTGTGTGTGTGTGTGTTTTTAGGGTCCTCGTGGTCCACTGGGATCCCTTGGCCCTCCTGGAAAGCCTGGTAGAAGGGTAAGTTTGCGTTTTGTTGTTATTATTATTGACCTGATCATTCTGTATAAATAGATTTATGAACAAGAATCATGTTTTCGGTGGCTTAGGGTCGACCCGGCTCAGATGGAGCCAGAGGGATGCCTGGACAGACGGGAACAAAGGTAAAACTAATGAGATTAACGGTAGACAAATATCTTTTAGCATAACATACAATAATGAATTGTGCACAATAAGATGACAGAAAGTAAAAAGGGCCAACTTTGATTTCATGTAGACAAATTACAGTAGTAAATAATTGTTTCTTATTTATAAAATGTTAATATCCTGCCATTCTGAACTGTTTCCTGTCTGTTTGCTTCACAGGGTGACCGAGGATTCGACGGGCTGGCTGGTTTGCCTGGAGAAAAGGGTCACAGGGTAAACACATTTTAAAATAAGTGTAACACTTCAGAGCTTTTATTTTATTTAATTTTTTGTTTATTTAATTTAATTTTATTTGATTTCATTTCATACTTTACAGCTTCTTATCCAATCTTATTTTAGTATAATTGAGATACTATTTTAGTTTTTATTTTTTATTTTTTATTTTTATATTTTATCGTTTTAGTAATTTTCTTCTGTTTGTCATTTTTTAGTAGTTTTTAATATATGTCTGTATTGTTTTTATTAATTTTTATTTCAAGTTTTTGTTTTTGTTTTAGTACGTCAAATTAAACTAAATTAAAATGAGCAATGATCTGAAAAGTTTTTTATATTTTGTTTTATTCTAGATAACAAAAAATATATTTTTTATGGTTTTAATTTTAGTTTTTGTTTACTATAATAACCCTGTTCTGACCGGCCGGTCTTAAGAAAACGATTTCAATTGAGATCAGCATTTAATGTCCATTTGTGTATTTATTTGGCAGTAAAAGCATCACAGGGTAAACACATGTTTATGAACATTTAAAAATATGTGAACATCTACTTTATTATATATTTTATTTTATTTTCAAATACATTTTTTTATTTGTACATATATTGAACATTTAAAAATAAAATAGGTGGAAAACTTTAGAGTTTAATTTTATTTTATTATTAAATGGCTTTCTGCAATACATGATTCTTTAATAAAATGATTTTAATTGAGATCACATTTTATTTATTTGGCAGTACTCATGTAAAAAGGAGGGTGATTCAGTCTATGAAAACTAATGAGTGTGTCTTTGTGGTTGTTGTAGGGTGAGTCGGGTCCTCAGGGGCCTCCTGGGCCTCCAGGAGAGGACGGAGAAAGAGTAAGAGCTTCTTCTTTTAATCCCTTCCTGTTTCCTTCATCATCTGTGTTATTGTTCTATGTCTAAATGGATCACAATGATGACATCATTTCCTGTATCCCAGGGTGACGATGGTGAGGTCGGACCCAGAGGTCTGCCCGGAGAATCGGTGAGTTCATATTTCCTCCAGTATCCCAGCATGCTCTCTTATCCTCTGCTATCCGCCACTAGATCATAGTGTTTCGTAACACAACATTTCCTCCAGTGGAGATAAACAACAAATCCATTCCACTAATTTTTTTGAGGTGTCCACTGCATTTTGCTTGTTATGGATGTGAAGTGAGAGAAACATTCAGAGACAGAAAATGTAGAGGAGATGAAAATGTTCAGTCAATTAACCACTAGTTAATATAACAGTTTAAGATTCTGTCCAGCAGGGGGCGTTCCATGTTCACCATTTAGATTGAGAGTGACTTTATCTGCTCTTGCATATACACATAAACACAATCACTTATGTCTGATAAGATGCACAAAGTATGTTTTTCAACATTAAAAAAAGGTCTATACCTCTACAAATAGGTCTATACCTAAATAAATAGTATTTTGGGCTCGTGTGCATACCTGTCAACATTTGGGTACCAAAATCTGGGAGACCTCTGGGGGTGGGGGTATGGTCAGGGTATCTGCAGGATTTTTCAAATCAAATGAAAGAATTTAAAACCTTTTTTAAAACCTGCACAATTATTATATTAATTTAAAAAAATATTATTAAACAATTATATTAATTTATTAACATAAATATATATGGGTCATAAAAATATGGATCGATTTCTGCTTTGGTCTGAACAAAAATAGCAGAAGTCCTATTGAGAAATGCATATTCATTCTCTGCCAGCAGGTGGCGCTTTCTGAACGGCAGAAATATAGCGGTTTCCCTGGTAACGGCAGTAGACAAAGCAGTGCAGCACCTGACTTTGAAACGTGCAGCGCTCACATTTAATCAATTAAATCATAACCTTTTGAAGTTTAATCATAAAAAAATTAAGAAATTAATCACAATTAAAACTTTCTTGTACCATTTACGACTTTTTATGGCCTTAAATCTCATACAAGATTTAGGAGGGGGCCGATGAGTGGTGGTGGTGGTGATGGATGGCAGAGGCATATGAAATGCACATAAATAAACTTCCGCCTGTAACACAGTTTCGAAATGGCCAGTGTGCCCTGTGCCTCCGCTAAATGATTGTGCCATTGTGATTTAATGTGCTGAGCAACATCATTTTCCCCACCGTGTCCGATATTAAAATCAGTGTGACATGCTTTGCAAAAGGCGTGGGCATTGTCCATATGGCTTCCGAGATATGAAATTAAATTCTTCCGTCCAGCTGTTGTTAAATTTACATGTATATTTAGTTTTTTCACCGGAGCACAAGCGTCACCCGAGTCTTTTCCTCCCATGTCTACCACTTGATTCAACTTCCCGCGTCTGCTGCCTGCGCAGATATCAACAGAGCAACTGGGTTGTAGGTTGCCAGGTTGAGGGCACAAATGGGTTGAAATTTGTATGATGTGTCGATTGTGTGAGTAGGATGCGTTTCATACAAGATCTGGCAACTGGACAACCTTGGAATAATATATTGATGTGATTATTCATATAACGAGGTTTGGGCTATACAAATTATGGGAGTTTCCCGGGAGAAATAACAAAACGGGAGGGGAGAGGGAGATGGGTGTGAAATACGGGAGACTCCCGGGGAAAACAGGATTTTTGACAGGTATGCTCATGTGTTTAAAAAGAAGCACATGAGATGAAGAGTCATTTAAGTGACATAGAAAAAGATTTTATTTTATTTTAACATTTATTGAACATTTAAAAAAAAAAAAAAGGTGGAACACATTATATCTATTTTATATTGTTTCTAAATGCATTATTTTCTTTTCTTTTCTTTTTAGTTAATGTAAATATGAAATAAATAGTACTCATGTTTAAAATGAAGCACATGAAATGAGGAGTTATATAAGTGGCATAGAAAAGCTTTATTCATGTTGTGATCACATGACCGGACAAATACCATTTTGTTTAATTTTATTTTATTTTTGTGAATATTTTGAACATTTACAAATAAATGGAACGCTTTATAGCTATTTCATTTTTTAATGCTTTATTTGAACAAAAAGGTGTAACACTTTTTTTTTTTTTTTTTTTTTTCATGTAAATAAGAAATAAATAGTACTTTAGGCAAGTATGTTTAAAATGAGGCACATGAGATGAGGAGTCATATCAGTGGCATAGAAAAAGCTGTTTTATTTATGCTGCCCACTTATCAGACACTTTCAGCTGAACACAACTCTCTGTTTCTCCGTCTTCTCTTATTCAGGGTCCTCGCGGTTTGTTGGGCCCCAAAGGTCCCCAAGGGCCTCCAGGACCTCCTGTGAGTACAACCTTCATCTTTATCTGAATCAATTTGTTAGTTTTCAGTCAAGTCATCAACCTTCATGGTACTGTATTTATTCTCTTACGCTCTGATGAAAAAATAGCTTAATTATTAATGTCCTAACATTTTTTGAAATGTGAGAATATATAAATGTGTGAATAATTTTTAAATGAGTTAAATTAGTTTTCATTTTTTTTATCCTTCTTTTATCATTTTAGGGTGTGACTGGTATGGACGGACATCCTGGACCTAAAGGAAACATTGTAAGTCTGAGACACACACACACACACACACACACACACACACACACACACTTGTGCATATACAAACATGCTTATACACGCACATATTCACTTTATTATGCTTCTGTTTTCACCCATCAGGGTCCTCAAGGTGAGCCAGGACCTCCAGGACAACAAGGCAACCCCGGAGCTCAGGTATTCTTCAAGCCACACCCACTCAGACATTATCTAACCCACCCATCTTTGACTTCATTAACCAGTCAATATCCTCTAATTCTGTCCTCTTTCACAGGGACTTCCAGGTCCTCAGGGAGCGATCGGACCTCCAGGAGAGAAGGTGAGATTGCATGAATGGATGCTTCTCTGGTTAATGGATTAAAGCCTTTATATGGAGTTTGTGTGTGTGTGTGTGTGTGTGCGTGTGCGTGTCTATTGATAATGTTTATTTTTGTCTATTATTAATGTTTATAAAAAAATCTTTAGAAAATAAGCAGTGAAGCAGTTTTGTTATTATTATTATTATTATTATTATTATTATATAATTGAAAAACCTTTGACCACCAAATCAAAGCCATTTTGCTGTTATGTGACAAGAAAACCATAAAACAAGAAATTATATGATTTGAAAATAATGATAAAGATGTATACATTTTATTACTTCTTACTTACTCCACTTGATATTTTTATAGTGATTAATGTAAAGTATTTACTGAAAATAGTATACACAGTTTTTTCAACCCTGCATGAATACAAAGCTTACATATATAAGGATTTGTCACATGTTTGATTTTCATCATTCTGGACATTCATATTTATCATTAACCCTTCTACACACTAGTGTTAATTTCGTTAACGAAAACTATGACGAAAAATGTTCGTCAACGAGGTTTTTTTCCCCTGATTTATTATTGCCAAAACATTTCGGACTGCTGTTCAAGACTCTATTACGCGAGCGTTCATGTTTGCGGTTGCCAGATATCAAGAGCTCAAATCCCCCGATCAGAGCTTTTCTGTTAAACGGATACGTACTCTGCCCAGCTCTTTGCTTTATGCAATCTGGCAACCATTCACTCGCGCTCTCCCTGCGGAGGTGCCGTGATTTGAAAACACAGACATATAGGACTGTACAAGTAAGCTGGAGTTGAGCGATCTCTGTTTGAGGTATTCTGCTTAAATGAAAGTGTCATTCAGCCAGTCTATGTTCTGCCATGGATCTCGACTGTATTGTTCGCGATAGTGGTTGCGGATTGTAACGTTACTAAGTTTTTTTTGCCGTTGTTTTAAAAGAGAAACATTAATGCAATTTGGAATGATTGGAATTACTATTAGGAATTTCTCTGTTTAATATTTGAGAGTAGGTTTTTGTTACACCAGTTTTCATAACGTAGACAGGGCGAGTGTATATCTGAAGTCTGGTGTTTATTTAGCCTCTAATTGATATCCTGTTATAAATCTGTACACTAACGTTAGATGAGGTGAAATAAACCATGCATATGAGTCGATATTCTATTGATTTGTGCTTATTGGGGAAAGAGCAACTTCTGATGAATTGTAAAAATAAATTTCCCAAATGACAACAATCATTGCAATTAAAATTGAGCAATATATTTTTTTTTTCATAATTTTAACCATTATACAGTAAGACGAAAATGTTTACGTTTCCACTGACTAGACTAAAATTCTCAGACATTTAGTCGACTGAAACTTGACTAAAACTAAAACAGGACACAGGACTAAGACTAAGACTAAATTAAAAATAACTGACAAAATTAACATTACACACACTGCCCACTTTAACGTATTGTTCGCTCTACTGGATAATCTTTATGGATGTGTGTTGAAACAGGAAAAGTGTGCTGAGTGTTAATGGATTGAGTGCTTATGCTGGTTTTCCTCTCTTCAGGGTCCCACTGGAAAACCAGGCTTAGCAGGAGTGGCAGGAGCTGACGGACCTCCGGTGAGTCCGGGAAATACACACACACTCACTCACTCACTCACTCATACACACACACACACACACTCACACACACACACACACACACACACACACACACGTCTGGAGCTTCACGTCTGATCATCTCAAGCTCCATTGTTTCAGAGAGATATTAATAATTACAGTACAGTGATCTGCCTGGCAGTTCTTCAGAGACACACTTTGTTCACATCCGATCTCAAGGCCTATTCTCTACACATTTCATGGCTTTATATCTAATTATTGCAACATAACTTGTCATTTCTCTTTATCTTTGTGCCACAAACACAGGGCCACCCAGGAAAAGAAGGGCCATCTGGCGAGAAAGGACACTTGGTACATGTTTATCCTTCATTTCTCTATCCGACGAGTTTCTTTACAGACAGTTCTCTTGCACAAATCTTGCTTCAGATGTGATCAATAACTCCATCCATAACTGATTGTGTTTGACAGGGACCTCCGGGTCCTCAGGGGCCGATCGGATATCCTGGCCCTCGAGGTGTAAAGGTAGGTGTTTCTTAATCCTCATTGGTCATAGCAGCACTCATAATGATCTCTCATTGGTCAGTGGATATTGTAGTTCTTAAGTAGTAAGTTGTAAGTGAAAAGTCACCCAACTCGTTTTGCCTCTAGCTTTTTCCTTATAGTGAAACAGAGACGGCACCCTGCTAATGTTTCTGATACTTTCCTGAGGCACAATCATCTGAACTTTATAGCCGTCTTCCAAAACTTCCAAAAGTTGCCTTGTTACCCAGACAGCATTTTAGGCATCAAAGACAACTTCTGAGATAACTTCTTTTGGCTAAAATGTAAGGCAGTGCAGATGATGTGACACTGTTTTTTGTGTCCATTTAGTTATAAAAAATATATTTCATATAGACATTTTGAATATTATGAGGATAAATTTCTCAATTTTATTTAATTTTATTTTATTTTAGAAATAAAATAAAATTCAAACTTAAAATATAGTTAGAAGTCAGTCTTCACGGAAAATGTAATCCCAGAATGCATTGTGAAGAATCCATAATGCATTATCCAAAATGGCAGATGAAACAAGATAATTGTTTAATATAAATATACCTATATTTCATGCCAAAATGCATAGATTAAAAAATGTGCAATTCAATTAAAATGCACTATTGTAATCCATTGTTTATTATTATTATATAGACAGTAGAGAGTCCAGTGGCTTACCAGGGCTCAAAACAGAGCTTTAATCACCTAAATGGTTTTTAGACAGCATTCGTGAGACAGTGAGTCAATCGCAGGGGTTTGGTTTCTCAGATGTTTGAAGTTTTGATGGACTCTGCTGATCTTTTTTCTTTTGCTCTTTCGCTCTTTCTATCTGCAGGGTGCTGATGGAGTCCGCGGGCTGAAAGGAAACAAGGGTGAAAAGGTAATTTCAGAGTGTGTTCGTGTGACTGTGTCCGTTTGGATACGAGCTGTTGTGAGTGCCGACGGCTAATGCACTGCTCCTGTGTCATTAATGTTTCATTTCTGCTTCTGAAAATGGAAACCAGTGTACTCCAAGATGCATTTTGACCTTCTCACTTTGGTCATTAAAATGTTTTATCCTGCAAGAGTGCAGCAGGAAAATAAGATCAGACCTCGACAAATAGCAGAAATACAGTAGCAGTTGCCATGGAGATCGGTCCTTTCGCATTTGTCAAAAATGGGGTATTATGTGCGAAAGGAAATTTTCAACGCTCTCAGTGTCATATCTTCTCTTATATCTCTTTCTTTCTCAGGGAGAAGACGGATTTCCAGGATTTAAGGGAGATATGGGCATCAAAGGCGACAGGGTAAGAGACTTATTCGCAGGTTGAAGAGGTTATTTGTTTTTGGCTTTATCTCTGGAGAATTATGGGATTTGATTTCTCTTTTCACTTGGGTCGATCTTTAATTCTCAGAGCATCTCTGAGGAAGCACATAAATCACAGTGGGTCTATATTTAGTGGTGCATCACTATTACTTTTGCTCATACTTGCTTTGGGATTTGAACAGATTTAGACATACACAGAAAAAAGGACCCCAAGGACCATAACCTGGGAATTCGGCCACATAGAAATGTGCTAAAAACACCTTAGCGATCACATATCCCCAGACGACACGCTGCTGAGTCTATTTCAAAGACGTTTTTCACACAAAATGCCAAGAAATTTTGCCATTGAGGACTCCAGAAGTCGGTCGAAGGGCATGTATAATATTCACCCAGCCTAACTGATCAGATTTTTTTGGTGTTATAAAGTCCGCTGACTGTAATAAGCAAACGTGCACTGCTCTGGGTTATTAGGGACCAATATACAAACGCTTCTGGATTTAAGTGGGTGGACATTGTCCCAAATTACCATTTACTCTTGTTAAATGCCACGCACACACTTCACTATTCCCATGCTGCTCAAGTGCCCATCTTTGCCTATTATATCTCTAAAGAGGCAAAAACATCAAACTCAAACTGTACACACAAACTTGTTTCATATAATTAAATTCTAGGATCTTTTATTCAAAGATGTCCATCCTAAAACAGCTGTACATACATATATGATATATACATTTATAGAAGTGGTTCTCAGTCTTTTTGACTGTAATGTCACTATAATATTCAAAGGCGTCCCCTTTTTCAATTGACAGAAATTAAGAGATTAAAATAAATCATTTAAATTATAATTAAAATAAAAAAAGTTGAATTTTTGAAGAAATGGTTTTTAGTTGTATATATATATATATATATATAGTGTATGTATTGGTTTCTAAAATATATAGTTATGAATGTAATTTTGTTAAATTTAAAAATTACATTTTTAATTTTGGGGTGAATTACATTAGTAAATGTAATAATTGTCATTGTGATAAATGTAATAAAATATATGATAAATATAATATAATAAATATAATGAAATTGTCATTTTAGCTTATTTTAAAGCTTGTTTTGTCTTATTTTAAAACATTTTAAGTAATCTTGGTGGCCTTGTTTGCTTTAAACAATTTAATTATTAGCAATAATTAAATTGTAAAATTCCTGAAATTTGGGGGTGAATTAAATTAAGAAATATCTTATTTTTTTGGTTGTTTTAACTCATTTTAAAGCTTGTTTTGTCTTACTTTAAATCATTTTAAGTAATCTTGACACCATCTTGGAAGTTTGCTCTAAGTAATTTAATTATTTAAAATAATTAATTGTAAAAATTTCAGAAGGTTTTGGGGTGAATTATTTTAATAAATATCTCACTTTTTTGTTGTTTTAGCTCATTTTAAAGCTTGTTTTGTCTTATATTAAAACATCTTGAAACACCCTTGGAAGTTTGCTTTAAATAATTTCATTATTTCAAATAATTAAATTGTAACATTCCAGAAATTTGGGGGTGAATTAAAAAAAAGAAAATATTGTAATTTTTGGTTGTTTTAGCTCATTTTAAAGCTTGTTTTGTCTTATTTGAAAACATTTAGAGTCATCTTGAGCCCCCCTTGCAAGTTTGCTGAGGAATTTAAAAGGACTTCTTCTATGCTTTTTAATGTATTTTCCCCCTGAAAGCCATTTATTATTTATCCATCCAGTTATTACATTAGTTAATGTTAATGTAAATTTAAATTAACGTAAATGAGCTCTGATATGATTGGCTGGCATACAGCTGTGATTTTCAGTCATTCATCGGGACAGGCCTGTAAAAAAAAGAAGGGAAATCTAGAAATCTACAAGGTCTCATATAAATCCTAATGTATTCAGGGAGAACTTGGTGCCGCCGGACCCAGAGGTGAAGACGGGCCTGAAGGACCCAAAGGAAGATCTGGTTTACCTGGAGATGCTGGACCGCTCGGGCCGACCGGAGAGAAGGTGAGTGTATATCTATACAGTATATGCATCGTGAAGTTTGTCAGTGTTTTGTCACAACTGATTAATTATGTCTCTTCTGTGTACTTTGATTTTAGGGTAAGCTTGGTGTACCCGGGTTGCCAGGTTATCCAGGAAGACAAGGCCCCAAGGTAAATACACCCGGTCTGCCTGTGATTACCCAGCATCCACAGCGGCCGTGTTCGAGTGTGTGCATGTATTGATAGAAGGACAAGGTTGTGTGTGTGCGCGTATGCATTAGAGTGGGATTGGAAGGCAGACATGTTTGAACTTCTTGATCAAAGCTAAGTGGATTTACCCATAATGCCATCTGGTGTCAGCTTTCCGTTTGACCGTGACCCAGCATGCACTGCTGCAACAGCACTTTTCTTCTCTTCTCCTTTTATCCCTCTCTCCCTCCTCGCTTTGATGGACCTGTGAATTAATCTCTCTCTCTCTTTTCCTCTTCAGGGTTCTCAAGGATTCCAGGGATTCCAAGGAACCGGTGGAGAGAAAGGCACAAGGGTGTGTGTAAAAGAGATCCGTATGGATTTGAGTTTTTCTGTCTCTTTTTATTTCCCTCACACAACCTTTTTCCTCGTCTTATTTTATGTTTTGTTTTTTGTTTTTTTGAGTAGTGAAACGATATGCTCTCACTGAATTTCTCGAATTTTGAGAAAGAAATGCAGGGTGATCATTTAGGCTAACATAATGCAAAAGATATAATATAACACGTATGTCAGATGTAATATAAACCATTTCAATAAATGCAATTTGATTAATCTTATAAAGTGAGCCAGAAAATCAACTTACCTCTATTCTAATGAGATATTTATTCTGTCATGTGATATTAAGATATAGAATACAATGCAATTCAGAAATTCAGAAGCACCGTTAGGGGAACATTTGACCCCAAACAGGGTTATTATTAATAACTAAAACTAAAATTGTTGAAAGCATTCTAATTGAAATAAAGATGAAGTAATATAAATGATAAATATTAGATGGAAAACCTATAAATGAACTGAGCATAATAAAAATGACAAAAGAACTAAATTAGTAAACATTCAAATTAAAATGAAAACTGAAAATATAAACATTAATAAAACTAAAACTGAAAATCATAATATAAAAAATAAAAAAAAACTAATAAAAATGACAAAAGCACATAAAATTACTAAATATTAAACTAAAATTAAAAACTGATAATATAAAATAAATAAAAACTGAAATAAAAATTTACTTAATCGAAATAGTTATACTTAAACTAAAATCAAACATTAAACTAAAAAAAAAAAAAAAAAAACTGAAAATATAAAAATAAAAGTTAATTCAAAATATTAATACAAAATATAATAAGTATATGAATAATACTAAAATAACACTGGCCAAAAATAAAAATTGTCATCTTTTACTCACCATCATGTCATACCATATTTCAGGCAGAATAAATAAAAATGACAAAAAAAAACAATAACAAAGTGTATAATAAAAGTAATCATTTCAGCTTGTGCTCTCTATATTAGAAGTGAAATCAGGGGTTTTATCTCAGTGTATGGAAGCTAACAGTCTCTGAGCTGTAGTGTGTGTGCTATCAGGGCCCTTATGGCTAAGAAAAGCTGGGAAAGACCCTGAGTAAACTCCCAGCTCTCCGCACCATACATACATATTTATATATTTATTTTATTAGAACTTATTAAATATAACAAATATATTTTAAAACTATATTAAATTAATATTTATTCACAAAATGCACAGTTTAATTATTATAGCATTTATTGTATTAGAATTTATTCATTATAACAATATCTTTTAAAAATAAAATAAGAAAAGTAATAATAGGGAATGACTACACACACACTTTCATTCACATACTAATGGCAATAAAATGTATTTTCTTCTGCCAGGGTTTCCAAGGTAAAACCGGACCTCCCGGACCCCCAGGTGTAGTCGGACCTCAGGTAAGTGGAACACAGAATGCTGAAGTTCAAATTTTCAAAATGATTCTAGAATTACACAATCAACAGTGCCTTTAATAAGATTCCAATAAAATGGGTTAGTAAAATGGGTGGAAAAAGGGTGAATCTCATGAATAATGTCATAAAATATTTGGCCCATTAAAAAAAATAAAATAAAATAAAATAAATAAATATATATATATATATATATATATATAAGGAA